TACTCAAATATTTTACGTTTTTCATACTAAATTAACACCTGAAGTATAATTTTTTTATTACTTTTTATATTTTTCAATATATTTATTTTGTTTGTACAAAATAAAAAAATAACTTTTAACGATACAATAGTCNTTGTCACTGTTGTAAAAATATATATGTTACTGTGAATGACCGAAATGGGGGGAATGTCAACATTCACACAGTTGTGTGTGTCGACATTCACCGGCGAATGTCGACATTCACAAATATTGGTCTTTCACAGTAACATATATAAATCATTACATAATGTAAAACTCCTGCTATATTTTTTATTAGACCCTGCCTTATTCAAAGGCTCTATTGCTTACCTATTATATAATGCTATCTTTACATTTGTAGGAACTAGATCTCGTAGAAACAGAGCTTATCCTGACATTCCTTAAGCCAAGATATATTTTTTAATTCGGTTACTGGAATCAGTTACAGGTGGAACGTTACTTACCTTCCTGATTTCCGTTTCATAATGGATAATGGCAGGTTGAATAGATATTTATTTATGCAAAGGAGTTGATTGCATGAACGAAATTCTGAAAATAATTTTGATATTATATTTAGACCTATAAGAAGAGAAAATTTTCTTCCGGTTTTCTAATAATGCATTTGCTTCTCGTGTGCAATTTAAGAATTTTACAGCCAAACGGTCATATGTAATAATATTGCATTTACTTGCAAATCTTTCACCCAATTATAGTTTATTTAAGGTATAGATTAAAACTGAGACCGAGGAGATTGAAGTCTTTCTCTGTAATTGCCTGAATAGCACAGATATGCAACGTGTCGATTTTTTATGCAAGATTCATAAAACTACACATTTAGTTCAACTCACTGTAGGTCCTATCATAACATTGTAATTTAATTAACAAACAACACAGCCAATTACATTATTTCCTCAAATTTGATTGTTGTCTCTGCTATCCTCTTTTCCTTCTGTATAAATGTCCTGTTATTTGAATGTTCTAAATCCATCGTTACAGCTGATGTTAATAGAAACTTGAATCCATTGTAACGTCATACATTCACGCGTTTTTTTTTACGTTATAACACATTTAACTATGTATAACTTTATCTATAAAATAATTTTCGTGAAAATATTTATTGTTCGTGAAAGTATTTATTGAATATTTATTATGAAAATATTTATGGTTTCCTNTGAATTATATTATTTCGCTAAAATGAAATTATTAAATTTTACCTTCTGTTATAAGATAAAAACTTCAGCACCAGCGTTTTGTCTTTTTTACGTAAAACTTCTAACTTCTCCAAGTAGCATTAATTATAGAAACAGGTCACCGGCATGGAGAAAGGTCTAGAAAAATCACATAATTAGAATTAGAATTGTGCAAAAGCTGAGCCAGCGACCATGCCAACAAAAGTTTTAGAAGATAAACTCACTAAGGATCCATGTAATTATTCCGGCTATATATAAACATTTTGGTAGAAACTACAACAGAAGCACCGTTCGGAAAATACAGGCTTCTTAGTCCCGGCGTGTACCGTGGCTGTCCGTAGATGTTGGATATAACAGAGAAGGCAATTATTGACCTAACCGAACCAAAATATGCAAGAAAAACTTTAAAACTAGAAGTTCAAAATTAACGTATGAAAATTTAAAATTAAACAAAAATTTTATTTCGAAAATGGAAAGTTGTATTGATTATAAAAATGAATTTAATATCTGAGAGTAATGAAAAACATTATCGAGATGGGTTGATAATAATATTAATAAGCGCAGAGCGCAAACGGTTAGGAGTTAAAAGTTGAATATTAGTACACAGGTAGGGTACGTCACAACAATGCACACTAAAAAGGGAATTCTCGAAATTTTTCACCACGGGGAGAGAAAGAGAATTAAGGCTTAACACTTCCATCAACAACGGACGTTTCAACAATAGATGTGACGTAACAATGGAATTGTTAAGAGAAAGCGACGTGCAGAACGCAGATGCAGTGTTTTTGTTTTGCGGAAAATCGAATATAGTTTTAAACTAAAAATTCTCTAATTAGTCTGGAAGCAGGTGGACCTAATTCATGCATTCTTTGAAAAGGAGTAAGATTGGCTATAAAGTAATAATCTTAATTTTCGCTGTCGTTAATTTTTGTCCGAGCAACGCCGGGCCTATCCGCTAGTTAAAGATATAATTATATCATATGTGTTGTATAAACAGGTCAAAGTATAGTTGCAAGAGTCTTCTTTATATAAAAAATCTGTTATTGTTTTTACATTACATAATATTTGTCTTCTTTCAAATCAACTGTATAATATACATAAATATAGGTAGAATTAATTCTTGTTAAAAGAATTGGCCGTACTGAACCCATTGCCAGTTTATTTTAACGCATGTTGTAAGTTTTGACTCGTAAAAATTGTGCAGAAGACAAATACAATATTCCCAAATATATGTAATTTGAGACGACCTGTAAAGGCTGATAATTATAAAAACATTTTTCTATGGGCGATTGTTTGCCACTCTTCTTGAATATCATTACTTTTGTTTTAGAAACATTTATATTTCATCCATATTCAAAGCAAAATTTGTCCAGAATGGCAATTTTACTTTGTAACATTTATGTGGTGTGGACAAAAATTAATGTCGTCAGCATATATTGATACATGTAATTAAACTTGAATATATTGTCTTCCAAATCTGAAAAACAATAATAATAATTAAATTAATAAAGAAATTCAAATAATGTCGAAAAAAAAATGTAATTTTCAAATATTTTTACCGGGCTCTTATTAAAAAGGCTTTTCTATATTGAGTAGTGTCATGGATACAAAAAAAAAGGAGACTGACAGAATTTTTTAAGTGGCAAAAACTCTAGGGCACAAAACAAGCACGATAGCAGGAATGATTAGGAACTACAAGATGGAAACAGGAAAAACTTCAAACGACGACTTCAGTAAAATCACAAAGTTTATATATAACAGAAAACCAAAAGACATTATGAAAGAAATTGCAGACTGCAAACATTAAAAATGGATTTTAAAAGTGCTCCGAACCTCCTTTAAGGAATAATAAAGAACTCATAAAAAGAAGAAAAAGCAAAAGTGTACAAGATCCCTTACGAAAACGTATAATTAGAATCAGAAAAGAAATATATTGGGGTTAAAACAATAAGTTTAGTAATCAGCCGTACGGATCACAAATATAATGTCAAAAAAGGATCCAGTCCTATAGTATTTTCTTAGATAGCGCAGGCTAAAGGCTATATAGTAAAATGGAACTAAGCAGAGATGTTAAATCCTTGCGCTCTTATAAATTTTAGCGTTGATCGCTAAAATTTATAAGAGTAAAGTAGAGGACGCATGCATCAAAGAACACTAAAGGTTTACCGTTTGCGTGGAAATATTCAAAAAGTTATATATTCAAATAATTATTAATTAAAAAATATAATTTATAAATATAAATTNTTATCTAATTTTTTATTTTTTGAAACTTTTATATTTATAGATACATAGCCAAATGATCATCTAAATACTCAGGCTATAATAATGCTGATTTTAATAATTAATAGTAAATAATTTGCTACTTGAGGTAGACATTAAGCTCCATCTCTTATCTAAATTAATAATTATAATTTTTAATTTAGATAAGAGATGGCGCCTAACGCTTACCTCTATACCAAATTCATTTGTATTTATTATTTAATTATAGCCATATTATAGCCCGATTATTTAGGCGTTTGTTGGTTTATTAGTATATCATCGGACTTTGTGATGTATTATATTTTTATGAACTTTTAAATTATTGTTTATTTTACCTTTTCATGTTTCATTTATATAATTATACCTTAATACTCTTATTTCTGTTTTATTTAAGGTATTATTACTGGACATTTATTGTTATATATAACAATATATTCCTACATATATAATTTTTTTCTGAGTTTTTATTTTGTAGTTAAATTTATGTATTTTATTTTGAAACAACGGTCTTCTAATCTTCTCGTTTAACCTGAAGATGGACTATTGAATGGGCTGAAAACGTTAGTTTAGTTTTAATAACTTATTTCAGCAACATACCATGTATATTGAAGGTCTACTAAATGTTCTGAATTTATTTTCCTGTAAATTATTTCCTTTCTTCATATTACATGTTGCGCATTTAAAAAAACAAATCAATATTATTGACGTAAACTTTCCTTCACGGAAGCAGTGATAATGTAATCTTACCTGACTGTTAACGCGATAAGACGTTGTAAGCAATTTTAAGGTAAAATTACCTGAAAAGTTTTTAATTAACAATAACAAACGATAATAACGTAGAAACGGTAGGAATTTAAAGTGGTATTTCAAAAGAAAATAGAGATTTAAATTTTAAAATTTGAAAGTTTTAATTGCAGATTGTTTTTAAATATTTATAATTTTATAATATTCTTATATAAAGAAATTACAAAATTTAGAGTTTATTCTGTGATATTAGAATCGAATTCAAAAAATCGATTTATTCGCTTTTAAAGTTCGATATTCGATTCGAATCGGTAAGCATTAATGACTTTATTTATATTAAATTATATATTTAATTTAAAATCAAATAATTAATATTTCCAATCTCCCTAACAATAGATACGAAATACCTTCATAGTGTTCAATAAATAATTAGTTTATTTAGCGTATTTAAAACTCTAGAAATAAATATTATTTCTGTAAATGTGTCAAAAACACTTTAGGTGCAATCACTGAAGAGTTTCTGTAGTCATTTCCTGTTCGCACAAAAACTATTAAATAAGTATTTATTATATGTAAAATGCTTAAATAACTGTATTGTAAACTAATTATTATTATTAAAACAATAAAATTGGTGGCATTAAATCCATAACGTTAAGTTGTTGACGAACGTAGAGCCGTAAGAAATTCACCATGGCTTCGTCTAAATGAGGAATGACGTCATTTCAAGTGACGTCAGCGTATATCCGCTCGTTTCTCCGACAAAAAATAATAAACCGATAACGGCGGAGTGAGAATCTATAAATTGTCACGTAACTTTTGTCATGAACTTCGGGAAGACGAATACACTAGAACCAGAGAGCCCAAGTAAGTGGAAGGTTAAATTGCCTCTCACCAAGAATAATTGGAAAGAAGCAAACAACGGGGTTCGATGGAATGGCAGGTGAGGTTCGTTGCCCCGTGATACAACCGAAAACTCAAGCCGGCAGGCGAGGGTGTTAAAAAAGGGTATTCGAATATTTTAAATAATAAAATACTAACTAAATCTTACGCAATTTAGAATATGTGAAATCCAAAAAATGTTTTAATATTTGAAATTCGATATTAGAATGTTTAAACATTCGCGTGAAATCGGTTAATTCTTCGATATTCGAACGCAGATGTTTTTATAATAAAACTTTTTAAAATTCCACGAGCAATTTTTCTAGATTTTGCATAAATATCTATGACTGAGGTAAGTCGTAATCGTGAGTATTGATTATGTTCTAATAAGAGATTCAGTACGAACTTCCTCCCTGGAAGACTTTCTATGGTATACTGGTCCTTACGTACGTATTAAATGCACGAAGAATAAGCACAAAGTTCCACTTGATTAATTTCTTTTTCAAGTAGGATCAGTATTATGTAGTGGCTATACAGTATACACGTTGTCATGGGTGAATTCTTCACATTTTATTCTTTTCATTCTTCTTAGTCTATACGTTCTTTCGGCAAATTCTATTAATAATTATGTTATACACACAAATTTCGTAGCGATGATTTTCCTCATCTTTTTCTTACTTTTTCAATTTTAGATTCACATTTGTTTTCGATTCCATCAACCTTCTAGCTGAAATTATATATTCTATATATAGAATATATAATTCTATATTTATTCTATAACTACCTATCCCCTACTTAAGTACACAACATGCTGTAATTGATAATATTTATGAAAGAGGCTTCAGAAAATATTTATATGTAACGTTGCTGTCAAATACAACACGGCGAAAGAGATAATGAGACTACTTAAGATAAGTCAGATATGTATTAATATATTCATAGTATATTTTAGTAATTACTCGTATGAATAAAATACGAAAGTTTATTGTAATCATTATTTCCAACATATTATTTCCTTGTTTATTCCAGTAGAATAATATTTTCCAGATGGCGACTGATAAAACTTCAAGCGAAATTCCTGTCAATGATGACAATACTCGAATTAGATTACATGTCATAAAGGTAAGTAAAACTTCTTCACTACATTTTGTTTATACTCTTTGAATAATATTAGACTTTTCAGTGGAATGCCGTAGCTTCGTGGAATTGGGGTAAGATTTCTTTATATTACTAAACTCTATTGTAATATGTTACTAATGCTATTTTCGTGATATCCGGTGTTATTATTTATCTAATGCACCTTTATTTTCAATTTCAGCCACAGAAATGGAAATTTGTGCCATTTGTCGATGTAAAATCTCGGATTTATGTACGCAACAACGACGTTGATTCGAAGTATCCTATAATTGACATTACATAGATAATTTGCAAAGAAAAAAAAAAAACATATTTTTTCAGGTATCGAATGCTTAGCCCAGAAAGATCAGGAGGGTGAAGAATGTCCTGTGGCTTGGGGAAGTTGCAATGTAAATGAACCTTATATTTCGTAACATTCGTTTCTTACCTGCGTAATTTCATCAGTTTAATTCATTGTTTTTGTTGTTTATTTCTAGCACGCATTTCATTTCCATTGCCTTTAGCGTTGGCTGAAGAAAAGACAAGTTTGTCCTTTAGATAACCGAGAATGGCACTTCCAAAAGTAACTTCAAATCACTTAATTTCGAACACTGTAAAGTTAAAAATTATGTATTAATATGATATTTTTCCTTGTATAAGGTACGAGTGATGAAGGTCTTTCATTTACAAAAATGGCAATGTGTATTGTATGACACTTTCTACAATGAAGAAATTTGAAAAAGAAAATATTTTACAAAACCGATTGATTTTCAAATTATTTTTTTTATTTATTCTCTTTTGGCTGAGCCCATTATGGATAAAATAACAAAGGTTCTTTTAATTTCTATAGGGCAGACAATTTAATAACAAATGGTTAAACAGAATACACATATTTTAGCTGAAAAAAGTGTTTAATTAATAAAAAATTCATTGAAATGTTTTTGAATTAATTAATAGCATCATCATGAATTCAAATGTTGCCCCTTGATTCCGAAAAATAATTAGAAATTTCTTTATATATATATTATTATTTTCAGATTATATTTTATTTATTTATTTCTCCACTATGAAAAATTTATATGCATTGTTTTTCTTCTTACGGCTTTCTATCTTGTACATAAGTGAACTGTAACTGTTTATATAGCATTACATGAAAGAAACAGTGGTTTCTCAAAAATCATACCTGCAGAGAGTTTACAATCAGTTCGCGAAAAGTAAATATCATCACTATTCAAATTTCTACAATGGAGGATCCCTAGCAGTTCTAAATAAATTTAAGTAATTTTTATTCGCAAAGTCCTTGAGAATAGACATATTGTCGAGACGGAAGACGCCAGTTGTAAATATTATAATGGACAACAGTGTCTTCCTTGGGAGAAACATCAAGAAAAAGGCGGTCAAAAGGCTGCACTTTGAAAACGAACGTACTCTAACATCCCTAGCTTAATCTTTTTATTTGGTTTTTTTTTTGCCACGCATCTGTATGCCTAAATGTGGTGTTGACCGCGGTGTAACCAAATCATTTTCAAATCCCAGAATTTCATGAGATTTCTACCTTGGGTTATTAGTCAAGAAAGGGAGATACATCAGTAGGAATAGAACTGTTATCAGATATGTTATCTTCCCTGGTCAAGTTTCTAATTTCTGTCTCAGTTAAACATATTTGGAAATTTTAAGTATACAAAATTGAGGACGTACACAAAAACAGTGTTGAATTCTTTTAAACACTTTTTAGAAATTATTAATACAGAATTTTATAATAAAAATTTCAAAGATAGCCGATGAAATGTTACATAATTGATATAAATTCAGACAGAGAACATGTACTGTAATTAAATTAAATAGCTACAAACGTGAGGTAGATATTAGTAAGAGCTTATCACACCAGTGATAATGGGCACAAACGCTCAGAAATCAAAGTAAAAACATTTAATAAAAACAAAAAACGGATGTACAGTGAAATTGACAATGTAAGAATGGAAACAAAAAACCCAAAATGCATTTTGGGATTTTTTGGTGAAAGACTATTCTCTATTTTCTAATAGAAATTACTTCCTCATCAATTGGTATTAACTAAAAGTGTTAATATACTTAAAATTATACATTATAAATATAAACTCGAAACTATACAATATAATGGTTAAAAGACCGCTATAACTGTATGAACAGTAAGCGTCATCTTTTAGAACATATACAACTACCTTACGGTTGATTGTGTTCCATCCATCGTGAAAAAACGTTTTAAGGTTTTCAAGACTATCTTTTATATACGATTTCAATATTGTACGATTTTTAACTATAAATTTTGGGTTAGATTTTTATACTAAATATTATACATGGTTTAAAACAATTTGGATAGAGTTAATGACGATTAATTCGTTTAAAAATATTATGCATTGGAAATATCCTAACTAATATACTCGAACATTTATGGAATTCACAGAAAATAAATACAAATAATTTTCTCGCTTCTTATTACGATGTCAATACTTTCTCAGCGAGAAAGTATTGACATCGTATGAAATTTAGCCCTAGTAGATTTTTTAGAAACGTGACGTTATTGGACTACCCGAACCAAAAATTATTCAGGAAGCATAAAAAATTTGTGTGTAAATAAGGGTGTGTTTCAATTTGTATTTCGTTTAATGTTACAAGATGAGGTAATGAATCAAAATCAAAATTTGGCAGGCAAGCATTTATATAAAGATCATCAATGCTGCTAAATATTTGATCTTAAGGTCAAACAATAGAGAAATAGCAATCATGGATCTTATCTCGAATAGGGTCAGACTTAATCAAAATCTTATTCGTTATTATCATAAACAATTTTTGAAAATAAAGCTTAAATATACCCTGAAAAATAAAATTCTGTTATTTTATAAGAACTACAAATATAACAGTTTTTATAACAAAATCTCATATTTTATGACGTTCAAAATTATAACTTTGTGTAAATAAATCTTAGTGTTTTTCTCTCCGAAAGTTGCGCGACTCGTTTCTCGATATTTTTTGCCGTAAGAAATAATTTAATGTTGTATATTTATCAGTCTGCAGACAAGTCTTCCTTTGCACATATTTATAGTATTTTAAGTATATAAAAAGAAGTTTTAGTTGTATTAATGACTAATTTAAATCTCTCTTAAAACATGATTTTGCTGTTACTATATTATTATATAACTTCAAGGTTTTCTGAACACTAATAACCACTTACACCTCTACACTATAAACTAAATATTATATATTATCTGATAGATATATTTGATGAGTAGTACTGCAAACGCAGTATATAGAACATTGTGGACAAGAGAAGTTAATACAGGATGAAAAGAGAACGAAAAAGTAACCCATTCGATTCAGTTGGTGTTTTTTCTCGTATATTTTTCTGGTATGTAAAATTATTTTCTAACGTAAAAAACTGAAATTTTATAATATCTGATAGATATATTTGTTGAGTAACTTAGTACTACGAACACAGTCTATAAAACATTGTGGCCAAGAGAAATTAAATACAGGATGGAGAGAAAAGAAAAGAGTAACCCATTCGATTCAGTTGGTGTTTTTTCTCGTATATTTTTCTGGTATGTAAAATAATTTTTTAACGTAAAAAACTGAAATTTTATAATATAAATAACTATTAAGTTTAATGTTCACCGTGTAATTTATAAAAACAAAACCTACATTTTATCATAACGTCATTACATTTAGCATTATAAGAATATACACAGATTTATAATGTTGTTTTTTCTTTTAATTTTCTGATTGTCACCAAATTAAATATTAAACGGCATACTTTCCGTGTGACCACTTGTGTTAAATTTTATTACATTGTATATTGATAACCAATTTATTTATAGATTCTCGAAATAAATCAAAAAGATTAATAGAAAAAAACCTAATACAAAAACAAATTTTAAATTAATAACACTCAATAAAATGACACATTTTTTTTGTATCTCGTGAAGTAAAAGTATTGCGTATATATATAATTCTATATCATTATACTTGTACTAAGAGTAACAATACAAATTCCCTTGCGTTCATGTAAGTTTATTAAAAGGGTTTATTTATTCTAAATACGAATAATCTCGCAATAAGTGAAAAAATATAAGATTAATATTTTATTCTGTAATGTATGTACGTGTTGGATTTACTATGTAAAGAATTTAATTGTTGAAAGTTCACGTTGCATAATTTAAATATCATTCATAACAAGTGACAATTAATATGGTAGTTTTTTAAGATAAAAATAAATATTAATAAATATATTTATATTTCTTAAACTTTAAACATCAAAATATATTAATCTTGACTAATAATTGAAAGTTAAGTTAAAGACAGCAGAATAAGTTCATTTAAACCGTAATTTATTTTTATTGTTCTAATTATTTGTCTATCAGTTCAATATTTAGATTCTATTTCTCCATACTTTCTCTTCCTATATACAGCGGATAATCGGTTAATTAACGAACATAATCCGTATTAAGACTTTCTTCGATATCCAAATTGTTCGTTAAGCAATTATCGGTTTAACTTAAATTTTTATGGAAATTTGATTAATTGTTCTTGAGACCCCAAAAAATAAAAAGATATATAATCTCTTACTACGTTTATTTATATGTTTCTTATACGTTTATTTATCTATATATATAAAATAGCTTGTCCTGACTGACTGAATAACTCGCTAATTCATCATCGCCCAGAGCAAACCGTTGGACCTAAAGAGATGAAATTTGGTACACAGTTAGGGTACGTCAATAAAACGAACACTAAGAAGGGATTTTCCGAAATTCCCTCGCGGGAAAGAGTATTAAAGCTTAATCGGAAAAACGGCTTTTACTCTACGATTTTAGATGCGATTTTTCGTTTACAACTACGTTTAGTCTTCATTGAGTACTTAGGTGTATTAAATTGATAACATTTCATTTATTGTTATAAATATTTTTTATATTACGATTTTTTAACCGAATGTTAGAACCGTTTTAAATTCGAATTTGTTATTGCGTATTGGTTCGATTATAGAAGGATTGTAAACGTTCTAGAAAACAGTTCGTTTAATTCTCGGTAATTCTTATCATTCTCAGCGGTAGGTGTTATATAACAATTACTATGGTTATTGAAATACTGAATATAAATGGGGTTTGCTTGCAAAATCCGCACGGGGCAAAGCCGCGGGTAACAGCTAGTACAATAATGAAAATACCTAGGCCTATATACGCCATCTTTTGTATTATATACGCCGTCGTTTGTATTATATATGTATATATATATAATACAAACGACGGCCTATATTAAACTAAATCTATACTAATATTTAAAGAGTTAATGTTTGTAAGTTCGGATGTAGGGGTAATCTCCGAAACTACTCATCCGATTTCAAAAATTCTTTTACCAATATTTAGAATGGAACCTCAGGGTGGACATAGGCTGTATATTATTCCGTTAAACATTCATATAAATTTAAAAATATTATCTAAGTTAAGGCTTTTNAGGTTAAGGCTTTTATGTCCAACAGATGGCGCTACGAGTACGACGCCCTAAGTTTGCTTTTCTGTGAGGCATTATGCTTTTATGTGAAAATGAACTAAAGCAGATCATCTTCTATCTATCTATATAAATAAAAATGTAATGTTCGTTTGTTCCTACCGATTCCTTTGAAATTTTGACACAACGCTGCATTCGAATACGCACGTGTTTTTATATAATATACGTGTGGAAATTCAACCCCACTGAAGGGAGTGGTTTGGATTAAGGCTTACGGTAAAAAACTCTGCTTCTATTTACACTATTTTAGATGCGGGTTTTTGCGTTTTTGATTGCGTTTTGATAGGATATGTCAAGAAAATGTACAGTACACTAAGAAGGGATTTTTCGAAAAATTTCCCCCCCCCACGG